GGGTGTGGGGTGACCGGGCCTGCAGGGGGGCAGGGGGGCAGAGCCCGGTTCGCTGCCTGCCCTGGCAGGAGCGCAGAGAGCGTTTCTAGGGCCGTGCAAGAAGGTTTCCCTCAGGATTTCCTCAGCTGTCCCGGGTGCTGGCAATGCTCTGGAGTGACATCTTTCATTTCTAACTCTAAAATGTTAGATCACACAACTTTTGCCTAAATCTACAGGTGACAGTTTGTGTGGAAGCAAAGACATTGCTCTGTCACTTGCTGTCTGTGCTGACCCTGCTCCTGAGTCAGTTTTGTTCACCTCTAGGAACACTTGTTTTAGTTGTCATTCTGCCCAGACAATGGGAATACTATTAAATAAGTATATAAGGAAAGTTCTGATCTTGAATCTTAATAAGAAAATAGCTTTTTAGCACCATTTCAGTGAAATCATAACACTATAAAACCCCCAGAAATGAAAAGCTCTGTTAACCTGCAATTTTCATTATTTTTTTTGTGTTAATATCTGAACCTTTTAAACAGTGCACATAATGCTTGCTTTTGAAGTGCTCTAAGGTTTGACTTACCATTAATTTCAGAAAGTTGACTGAACTGTTTCTGAGCTTTAAAACCACTGGCAGAATAAACTCTGGTTTTGTGAGCACGTGGGAAGTTGGCAGGTAGGGAGGGGGAGGCTGCTCTTGGTGGGCTCACCCTGGGTGCCTTGTCTGGCTGAGTCCTGAGTGAATCTGCCATGTAAATTATTTTAATAGGATGTTGGCAGGATGTCTCTTGCTTGCCTCTCCAGTTGGTTGTGTCAGGAGACAGACTGAAGGCATTCAGAGGGGATCAGAGACCCACCAAGGCTGGAAAAGACCTTTAAGATCATCGAGTCCAGCCTGTGACCAACACCACCAAAGCAGGGAGTTCAGGCCAGCTCTTCAGGAACCAGATTTAAATCTCAAACTCCCGTATTAAAACAACATCCCAAAATGCTTTTTGGTGTCCTTGAAGATGCCTCCATCGTGTCAGTGAGGAACAGGGGGGAAGGTTTAGCTCCATGGTTCCCTCTGAGGCATGTGCAGCTGGTTCCTGGGCGTTCCCTCCAGGTTTCCCATTCAAGTGGTGAATAAACTGCCTTGCAAGAACAGATTTCCAGCCCCCACGTGTCTTCCAGCAAGGCTACAGCCTCTTCTGTAATGCTTTTGCTTGACTGACCTTGTAAAACACCCCTTGTGCTGCTTTTGCTTCTCTGTTTGCTGCAGACAGGACCAAGGCACCAGGATGCCAGCGCTGCCCCTGGATGAGCTCCAGCTGACAGAAAGGGATCCCAAGACAGGGAAGCTGAAAACATTACCAGCACTGGTGAGCTGTGTTTTTCCTGAAAGCCAATCCAGGCTTTTAAGAAGTACTTGTCATATATTCAGACTTGCACAAAACTAGCTCTTGGTCCAGGCCGTGATGAGACTGAGTCAGCTTGTTTGTTAAGGAGATTGTTTTCTTGGTGTTGCAGTGCATGCAGGCAGCTGAGGATTTCTTTTCAGTGATGGGTAAATGAAAACATACTGGGTTCAAGATCTGTAGTGAACTGGATTCTCTCAGAACTCCCTGTTCTTTTGAGGAGCAGCCCAATGAGCCTTGTGCCCTTGCTGCAATGGAGAGGGTCTCCATTGGGAGCTTCTGTAAACCCCATGCTAGAGCTCTGAGTGCTGGGAGAAGTCTGACCACTTACTGCATCCCATGAGCCTGTGCCTGTGGCTTCAGCTTTTGAAATCAGGAAATTAAATCCACAGATCTGCTTTTTTTGAGTGACAGAGCACTGGAATGGGTTGCCTAGAGAGGCTGTGGAGTCTCCTCTGGAGACATTCAAACCCCCTGGACACGTTCTTGTGTGATGTGCTCTGGGTGACCCTCCTCTGGCAGGGAGGTTGGGCTGGGGGAGCTTTCCAGGTCCCTTCCAACCCCTAAGATTCTGTGATTCTCAGAAAGGAGTGGAGAGAGCCTTCTCCTGGGCAAGTTGCAGGAGTGGGACCTGCTCTTTATGCTGAGGAGTTTTACCCTGGATATGTGTGGGTTGAGGCAGAGCTTGAAGCTGCTGCTCAATGTGATTCTCATTCTAGGGTGGGAGTGTTGGGCAAAGCCTGTTCAGTCATTGGGAAGGGTAGTGACACCTTTCCTCACTATATTTGGTGGTCTTGTCAGTTTGACTTTGTGGAATGTTGTGCCAAAACCAGTTTGGAGGAAAAAGAGAGTGCAGGCATGTTTGAAAGGCATGACCTCAAGCTGCTGCTGTTTGTTTTGAAGGTGTGGGAGGATTGCTTTGCAAGGCTTGTGCTTGATAGAGTGCAAGGAGCAACATCTACCCCATTATGAAAGTCTGAAAATGTTGCTGATAAGGAAGGATACAAACCCACTGTTCTGCTGCCTTAAAAGATTAGAAAATGAAAAGTTAGCAGGGAATAGAATGTTAAAATGTAGTGAAGTGTGATTTTGTGTTGGTTTCTTAGAATCATAACATAGAATGGTTTGGGTTGGAAGTGATCTTAAAGTATAATCTGCATCCACCCTCCCTACATGGGCAGGGACACCTCCCAGCAGCCCCATCCAACCTGCCCTTCAGCACTGCCAGGGATGGGGCAGCCACAGCTTCCCTGGGCAACCTGGGCCAGGCTCTCACCACCCTCACAACAAAGAATTTCCTCCTCATGTCCAACCTAAATCTCCCATCTTCCAGTTTTAATCCATTCCCCCTTGTCCTGTTGTTTACAAGCCCTAAAATTCAGTGAGCACAAGGTAACTGCGCATTCCTGTCACTTGGCCTGTGGTTTTAACCCAGTGTTCTGACTTTCTGCAGCACCCAGAAATAAAAGCAGATCGGTCTTTTGTGCTATACAGACCGCCCCCCCCTGCCAGAGACCCTGCTTTGGTGGAGGAATTCTTGGAGAGAGCAAAATTCATTGCAGATGACCTCAACTGGCTTCTGGCTTTGCCTCATGACAAGTTCTGGTGCCAGGTAATCATTGTTTTGTGGGCACTGAGGAAAAAGCACCAACGATCCGGGTGGTTGTGAAAGCCACAGACTTGAAGTAGTTCTTGTGAAAACTTGTACATGCTCATGATGTCATTTGTTAAGCCTTTTATTTTTAATTACTGCACCTTAGAGTGCAAAGAAAGTATTTCCCTGTTTTCATTGTGCATTTGGAGAGTTTGCTTGTATTTGGGATGTGTGTGTGTGTGAGTCCTTTTAGCACTCCTGGGTGTTCTTGCGTGCTTTGAAATGGAACAGGGCTGCCCATGGGTGCAGCTTCTGGGTGTGTGACTTCCCTTCTTCCCATTCTGTTGTCACTGAAGGTGATATTTGATGAGACCCTTCAGAAGTGCCTGGATTCCTACCTGTGTCACGCCCCCCGCAAGTTCGACGCGTCCCTGGACTGTGATCCCAGGGTGAATGACATGCAGAAGCGTCTCCACCGCAGTGTCTTCCTGACCTTCCTCAGAATGTCCACTCACAAGGAGTCCAAGGTAAATATTTCTTGGCCTTGCAGGTGTTCCCGGGCTGTGTAGCTTAGGGAAAAAGACAGTTGGAGAAATGAATCATGGTTCTTACTTGCGTGTCCAGCTGCATTCCTCTCCCTGACTGGTTTTATCAGGCTATTTCTCCAGATGGAGATGATAACCACTCAGAGCTCAAGTGTCTGAGCTGTGTCATGGCTTTCTCAGGAAGCAGATCCAGGAAGTCAGCTCAGGAACAGCAGCTTGGCCACCCGTGGTGTTACGGTACGTGGCTGTAAGAGGTAAAAAAAACCAAGTTGGCCTTGGTGCAGCTGCACAGAAGAGGCTCTTCAGGCCACCAGCACTGGCTCCCTCAGTGCCTCTTCCTCTTACCCTGCAGTGCCACGTAATCTAGACTAATACTTGTCTCTTCTTGAACTATCCCCAAGTTTTGGACACACAAAGAAATTGGTCTAAATGACCATTTTCTTGGCTTGTAATTGAAGGATGTACTTGGCCCTGATTGTGGGAATGCAAATACCATCAGCAGCTGTGGAATTTTCATAAGGCCTTTGGGCAGGATGAGCTGAGCACCTTGTGTCCCAGCAATCAAACTGTTCGAGAAGAGTTTGGGTTGGAAGGGACCTTAAAGCTCATCTACATCCACCCCCCCTGCCACGGGCAGGGACACCTCCCACCAGCCCAGGTTGCTCCAAGCCCCATCCAACCTGCCCTTCAACACTTGCAGGAATGGGGCAGCCACAGCTTCTCTGGGCAGCCTGTTCCAGTGTCTCACCACCCTCACAGCAAAGAATTTCTTCCTAATGTCCAACCTGAATAACCCCTCTTCCAGTTTTAATCCATTACCCCTTGTCCTGGTGCTACATGCCCTCATAAAAAGTCTCTCCCCAGCTTTCCTGTCAGCAGTGACTCCCCTGATACCCTCATGGGTTCACAATGTGCTATTTAGTGCTGTACTGATTCTTGATTATCACAATGGGGACATTTGGGACATTTTGAGGAAAGATCTTGGAGGACTGGGGCAGGAACAGGTAGAAGGAATGTTGGAACCTGCAGTTGGCACCACTTCAGCAAAAATACGACACCTCTGTGGTGCCTTTCATTCCAGGATCTGATTAAATCTCACCACTCCAATGAGGCACACAAGCATTTGAAACCATTTTATAGTAGAGTAGTTTGAAGAGAATGAATAGCCTGTTGTCATGCAGGCAGTCAGCAGGAGTTCCAGAAATTGAACAGCACAAAGCCCTGTCCCTCTGCTTTAGCAGGGAGAATGTGTTCTCTGCCCTTCACTGGGATTGAAAACATTTGCTATCATAGGCAGATTTGTCCTCTGAAATTCCAAAATGGCTTGTTTCTCAGTGTCAAAGATGGTGGAATTTTTGTCCTCAAGAATTTTAGAAAAAATTCCTTCAATGCTGTGAGTCCTGTGGTTTCGACAGGGTGTTCTAGCAGTCAGAGCTGCAGTCCCTGGGTTTTCTTCCTACTTGTCACTGATGCAGTGATCCCTGGAGCCTTCCTTTTACTTTTCCAGGTTACCAGTAACTCAGGCTGTGATCTCATGTATGTGTTGTTAGTGTCAGTGCCAGTTAAACCATTTCTGTGCCTGGCTCCTCATTCCTACTCCTGAGCTGTTCTTGTGGCAGCTCAGCTGTTTTATTTGGCCATGGCATGAGCCAGGTCTGGGAACTGAATGAATTCTTAGTAGTTTTTTGTTTGAACTTTTAAATGTTGCTTTTAACTTTGATTTCAAGGTGCAGCCTGGTCCTCTCATGAGTGGTGTGATGCCTGTGGGGTGGCTAGGGTAGTGACAGTGACAAGCAGCTGGGAATGTGGGGATGGAGGGCTCTGCAGAAGCTAGTGTAGGCAGAGTTGATTTGTGAAACAAAATCCTTAATATACCTTTGAGAGATGTTTTTACAGGTATCATTATAATGCTGGAGTCCTTGCAGAGCAAGATGTGGATTATCCTGTAAATTACTTTTCTTTTTTTTTTCTTTGTAGGAACATTTTATCACTCCCTCTGTCTTTGGAGAAATTATTTACAATAACTTCCTGTTTGACATCCCTAAGATTCTGGATCTCTGTGTGCTTTTTGGAAAAGGGAATGGTCTCCTGCTCCAGAAGATGATTGGTTAGTTCAAGCCAAGGAACAGCTTGTTGCCTTTAGGCTTTTGCTTACTCATATAATGGCAAGTGATGAGGGGGGTTTTATACCATTGTTACTGCTCTGAAAACTAATTGTTCAGTAGCAGCAGAACCTAGAATTTCTAGATCAAGTTCTAAATAGTATTTGTTTTGTGAACTTCATTTCTGTCAAGGGATGCAGCGTGGGCTGCTGCTTATCTGTCCTGAGCTGGGCTCATGGTATTAGGCATGAACCCAGGCTCAGTTGTGCCCCAGTGGAATGTGTCCTCAGCCACTGCAGGAGGACCACAAGGGCTCTGTGAAGTCCTGGTAGAAAAGGGAAGGGGCAAACAGCTCAGCTCCTGGGCAGGGAAGGAGGAGGGACAGGAGATGGGGCACAGTCCAGCTGCTCATACGAGTGTTCCCAGACTTGGGAGCCCAGTGAAACATGCAACATGAAGTAATCACTGCTCTGTGAAGTGGGCAAACTTGAAATTTCAAAGCAGACATTGATTTATATAGTGCCTTCAAACAGAACACTTCAGAGCCTCACTGAAGCTGGGCTTACCCCTGGATCTCTCTGTATCTAAACAGTCTTAGTGGCAGGAGCATGTTAAGTAACAGCTCAGCCTTGGACATTAGAACCTATGTGATGAAGAGGGCATCTTGGTTTAGCCTCTGTGTTTATCCTGAACTCCCTTCACAAGGGAACTGCCTGTGATCTTGGGAGAGCACCTTGGATTAAGTGAGCTGCTCTTCCTAAATTCTAACCCACTTCGTCTGCAGTCCATGTAATGAAACTTTTTCCTTTCCTGGCTAGTTATTTTTGTCTCATTTCCAAGTTGACTGACACGAGAAGTGTTACAGAACTTGTGACACAGCCAAATTGCCAAGCCAGAAAGGCTCAGATAAACCTTTGCATTTTTTAATCCCTTTATCCTTTTTCAGTAATTTCCACTCCACCTTCATCTGTCAAGCCTCAGAGGTGGGAAGAAGGCATGACAAGATAGGTAGTTGTCTTTCAGAAGTGAAGCTTAGATGAAAACCTGAAAATGTTCTTAATATATCTTAAAATATTCTGAAGAAGACCTAAGATGATGAAACCTCATTTGAATGATAAATATGCTTTAGGATGCAACACAATAACACTGCACACATGTAACTAGTGATTTACTCACCTGATTATCTGCATGATGCTGGGACAGTGATGGCATGAGCAGTTCTGTAATTGACAAGTTGAGAAACTTGAGGTTCTTCTCAGGATATGGATTTTTCTTCAGCCTGTCTTGTAACTCTTCCCTGTGCTGCCCTTGCTGGAGAGCTCTGTTAATTTTCATGGTCTGAGCAGTAATTCACAGGAAAATAGGCAGCCTCTGTGCTTCCTTGCTGAGGATTTATGGTACACCATTACTTGGGGGGGTATTTTGTAAAGATAATGAAGTCCTAGTAACATAATAGCAGGTATCACTAAAGCTTCATTACCTGTAAGAAATATTCTGCAGACCATTTTCCAGTGTATGCTGAACTATTATCAGTAATTAAAAGTCAACTCCAGTTGTCAAATAAAGGAACCAGGAATGTTCAGTGATAGTATTTGCATTATTCATTGATTCAGCCTCTGGGGTGTGAATCATCCACCATCTCGTTTGCTCTGCTCTGATGAGCATGTTCTCATTGCCACTTCTCCAGTTGCACTGAAGAGTTGAGGGAGCAGCTTTCTGGGAGCAGGAGCTGGGCAGTGAGCCTGTGCCCTTGTCCTGAAAGGTGATTAGCTGGATCTGGAGGGGTGTCAGGAATAACACCAGCACATCTTCTGGTGCAAGTTTGCTTGTTGGCATGAATGTCTGAACTGATGGGAAATGTCCTTTCCCCTCTCTTCCCAGAAAATATCTTCACTCAGCAACCAAGTTACTTCAGTGACCTGGATGAAACTCTGCCCACTGTCCTCCAGGTACTGCTTTCCTGCTTGGCCCAGGGCTTGGATTTCATCTGGAAGTGGGACATGGTTTAGAGGGTGGAAAGGAGCAAATGTGTAGGCAGTCAGGATGTATCTGCTGTTAACTTTCTCCAGTTAATGCTGATGTCTGTCATGTTGTTTATGAACCTTTATCTAAAACCATTACTTGATGACAATTTGCTGTTACCTCTTCGGTTTTGGCTGCATCTGCAGCTCATCTCAAGGAATTTCCACCAGGCAGTCCAATAAGTATTCTTTGTATCCCTGTCCAAGCAGGAGAAGCATTGAAGCTTAAACCAACAAAATAGAGACCATGAGAAGTAGCTGAGGCTTGACATAGCAGAACTGGTTAGTGTTAATGCTGCAGGTTCTCAGGAGTAAATTAAAATCTGGTGGAGGGGATGTGTTTCAGCCACACCAAGAAATATTTGGCACCTCTCCATGTCTAAGCTTTCATTTTTATAAGCAGCTTGTATACTCCCCAGCACTGGTCAGCAGGATTCACACTGAACCTGAAATCATGGTGCCTTGACATCTTTGTACCCTGAAAATGTCACATTTGTCCTCAAAAAGCTTTGCCCACAAGTAAGCAAATCCAAGATAACATTTACCCCAAGACATCTACAATGTAACTTTTTGAAAGCCCACAGTTTTCTTCCTTTCCTTGTGCTAAGGAGCAGTTAGAGCCAGATCTCAGAGGTGGGATCACATTGAAAAAATCTTCTAGGATGCAAGACCAAACTTTGCAGTGAATGACTGGGGGGGACAGCAGAGATGCCATTTGCTTTTCATGAGGTACCAGTTGGAGCAGTTTCTCTGCAGGGCACTGCTGTGTTTTCCCAGCCACTGCAGGGTGTTACCAAGGTGCATCTCAAGTGTATGGATGTAACAGCTCCAAGATGTGTCATTACTGACCCATAAAGCTGTTTTATGTGCTTACACTCTCACTAGCAGGAGTTGATACTTGTGCAGGTTTAGGAGCTTACAGACCCTGTAGAATATTAATATTAACACCAAATAGGCAACTTTGGTACCTTTATGCACCCATTCACCTCCCTCTGGGAGGAGGGTTTGGCAAATCTCTTAGGCTGCAAATGTAGAGGAGTTGCTTTTAAGTTGGTCCTACACCAGGACTCATTAGCAATCTGCAACCTGATCCTGTGGGCTTCTCCCCAGCTTCTCTGTTTATAAACAAGAGTCACAAAATGGTGATCACCTCAGAGGAGAGGGCAGGAAGGCTTTGGGGCTAGCCCATAAGGAGGAGGAGGTGGTGGTGACTTCCCATTAGTCCCACTGCTCCCTTAAAACTGGGGATCCTGGTTTTTCTCCCGTGGCTCAGGGTGTGGATTAGCTGCAGTCCCTGTCTCAGCAGCCCCACAACCACGTGCAGCTGCATTTAAATTGCACGTAAGTGGCCTGGAATTCCAGAAGTGCAACCTGGCCCTTCCTGCTGCAACCTGCAGGAGTGTTGCAGCTTTCATCTTACAGGGCTCTGTGCTGTGTGGAAATAGTCACATATTGCATATAAAGCTTGTCTCACTGCTTTCCCCTGTCTTTTGACACTACTCTGCTCTCCTGGTCTAGGTGTTTAACAATATTTTGACCAAGTGTGGCCTGCAGTGTGAAGGAGCCTCTGCTGAGCCCCAGAAACTGGAAGGAAGAGTAAATGTGACTCCAGGAAACATGCCCCTCCAGGTAGAACTGTTGCTCCTTGCACTTGACTGTTTGGAGTCCTGCAGACTGAACATCCTGAGAGCACAGAGGGTCATTCTGTTCCCAAATGCTGCTGGCTCATGCAGCACATGGTTCCATGTCATTGTTTCACTGTCTTTGTCATATGACATGGTGATAAAGCCTTTCCACCAGGAGCTGGTTGCTTTGCTCCTGTGCAGTTCAACCATATCCATTGTAGCCTGTGTTGGTTTTTTTTAAACCTGGCATCTTTTTTTGCTTAACCAACTTAAAAGTAATGCAACAGAGCATGGACACATGTCTCCATGTAACCCTGACAGTGATCAGAGTTGATCTTTGCTTCAGAAGTGTTTGTTTAACAGCAGTGTACTTTAGTTAATGAAGAGTGGTTTTTTTTGTACTGGGTCCTGTGCAAAGAGAGGCCCCATCTCAGCGAGCATGTCCTGCAGGATCTTAGGCAAACAGTCTGCATGTGGGAGTTGATGCAGTGACCCTGGAGATGGCTTTTGCCCTAAAGCAGGACACTGAGACCACCCCTTTCATTCCTGTCACTGCTGGGCAGTGCTGCCAGCTGAGGGGGAAGACAACTGTGTGCAGGGGATGTGTAGAGGGCAAAGCCACTGCCCAAGACAGGAGCTAATGAAGATTCTCATAACTTCACAGCATCTTTCAGGAGAGTGAGCAGCTGGGGTTGCATTATAGATATTTAAAGGATAAAGTTGTAGGAGAGATTTTGTCTCTACCTCTAGACCCAGTGACAAGTGGTGTGTTCATGACTTGACAGCAGAGTGTGTACAGGCAGGCAAAAAGATCTGGTCTGAGCTTAGCCTGTCCCTGGTAGTGGGTTAGACTGTGTTTTCAGGAATAACTGGTCTGGCTTTTCTCACAGTCATTGCTCTTTCTTTCCCAGGAGCTGAAGGACATTGTGCTGTACTTATGTGACACCTGCACAACACTCTGGGCATTCCTTGATGTCTTCTCACTGGCTTCCCAGACCTTCCAAAAACATGAGTTCTGCTACAGGTACATCTTGGAGTGCAGACAGAGCTTGTCTTGGTGAAGTAAAACACTTAATGTGCTGCTGTGTCCCCTCCCAGCACCTGCATTGTTACAGGAGTAGAGGGATTTAATGCAGCTAGAGACTGTTCACACTGACAGGAATACAGAGACTCCCAGGAAATTACTTATTTATACATTTATATAAATAATTTATATTAATTTAATATAGAGACATCCAGAGTTTGTCTGTTACATGTTAACCTTCATCATTATCTAGATCTTAGAGCCAGGCAACCATGACAGCAAACAGCACATGGTGTGCTTTGGAAAGGGTGGAGAGGGACAAGCACAACAGAGTTGTGGACAGAGCTTCCTGCTGTAGGACCCAAGGCAAGGGAGGCAGAAATTCTTATGGAGTGATATCCATCAGGGGCTGAAAATAAACATTTGGTTTTTTGTTTAATATTATGCCTTTGTGCTAGTAACTATTTCTGAGGTTTGGCAAAAGCTGAGCTCCTGGGAGAGGATGAGAAGCCAGCAGTGTCCCAGCTGGGCTCACAGCAAATTCCCTGTCCAACTGGATCATGGTGGTGATGAGTCAGGATGGTCTCAAGGACTGGACAGTCAAGTGTGTTTCCATGGAGGGTGCAAGTACTTGGGAGGCACTTCCATGTCTGGCTCCAGGCTTTTTAAATCACCAGATCATCTTGTAGAGCTTTACTGTAACTGTCTTGGTTTCGGACCAACTGAGGAGTTAATTTATTGCCTTTATTTCCCCTGCCCTATTTGCTTGTCAGTGTGAAGAACACACTGGTGTTCTGCTTTTGCTTCCAATCCTGTTGCAGAACTCTGAAATCTTAGAGCTGCCTGTGGTTTATGGACCACAGGTTGAGTAATGCTGCTCTGGGGTGTGTGAGTTTTTGTCCTCTTTAGATGTCCTGGAGTTGGTTATTGAAAGAAGAGCAGATTGGTGGCTGTTTGAGCTGGCAGGCAGCAGTGCTTCCATGCTTGGTTACTCAGAGGAGGGAAGCCTTTTGCTTTTAATTCTGCTGTTGATGTCAGAGATGTGCTAAAATGGTCTTGGTCTCTGTGCAGTGGGACAACAGCAACACATTTTCATTACGTTTCAATATGGACTCATCATTGGGTCATTGGAGTGTGGGGAGGGAAAACTGATTTACATGTCATCTTTGTGAGTCTGACTCAATCTGTTGGTGCTTGCTAATTTGCCTGACCAAAAGTATCAACTAGCTTCTGCTGCATTTGCCTCAAGGATACTCGTTTAACGTGTTTGGCTCTTAATAATGGACATAGTGTTCCTAATGGAGCTCATCAGTTCAGCTGGGCTGTGGTGCAGAGGGCTGTAGCCATTCCTGAGAGCATCCAGCTGCTCAGGAAGCAGCACTGGTGGTTATTCAGTGAAGGTGTTTCTCCTCATCTCTTGGTCCTTGAAGGAAAGGGTCCCTGTGGGCTGCCTGGCACATAAAAATGGACCAAATTAACTTTCCTTGTGTCCTCCCTGCCCTGTCCTGCTGAAACATCCTCTTAGGCTCTCTTCATGTTGGATACCTTCATTTGAATGCTGCCCAGAGCAGAGCTGAATAGGCAGGCCAGTAAGACCAGTAAGGACATTGAGGGGCTGGAGCATGTCCAGAGAACAGCAACCAAGCTGATGAAGGGGCTGGAGAACAAGTTCTGTGAGGAGAGATTGAGGGAACTGGGATTGTTTAGTTTGGAGAAGAGGAGGCTAAGGGGAGATCTTGTTGCTCTCTACCTGAAAGGAGGTTGGAGTGAGGTGGATGTTGGCCTCTTCTCCCAATTGAGTAATGACAAGACCAAAGGAAATAGCCTGAAGTTGAACTAGGGGAGGGTTAGACTGGATATTAGGAAGAAATTATTTGCTGAAAGAAAAGCACAGGCTGCCTAGGGAGGTGGTGGTGTCACCATCCCTGGAGATGTTCAAAAGCCACGTAGATTTGGTACTTGAGAACATGCTCTAGTGGCCAAGGTTTTTCTTGGTTGGTTTTGGTTTTTTTGGGGTTGACAGTTGGACTCAGTGATCTTAGAGGTTCTTTCCAATCATGACAATTCTTTGACTCCCCTGTGTCATATCCAGCTTTCAGCACACAGCAAGATAGGGCCATAGGGAGGTTGGAGCAGGGGGTGTTTTGGGATGGACTCGAGCAAATCAGCTCTTTGCAGGCTGCGTATTTGTGTTTGGGAGGTTTCTCAGTTGGACAGATTGTTCTGTTCAGTAGCATGATGCTTTTCAAATTAATTTCTTTGCCAAGGTCTTTGAAGACCCCTCAATGGTTGAGAGAGCTGCTCTTTGTCACACATTTGCCTACTTGCGTTTCAGGGAACACACAACAAATGGGGTGTTGCTTGTGAGTGCTGCTAGTGAGGAGAGTTCAGTGAAATTACCCATGTGATTTGTCTTTCAGCAAATTTGTCGTTTTTGAAACCTCAGCTGACAGTTGCTGTTGTGTTCCCCCTTTCAACAGATTAGCTTCATTTTATGAACTGGCAATTCCTGAGCTGGAATCTGCAATTAAGAAGAGGCATTATGAGGATAACAGGTGGGAATGCATTTTCTTTTCAATAAAAGTCTCCCAGGGCTTAGTTAAAAATTCACTTCATGCTGCTTCACCCACCTCTGTGGTGTCTGTCTTTTATTTTTAATGCTGCTTCAAAGAACTCTGAAGAGATGGCTTCTCCAACTCCCAAGTTTTCCTGGGCAGTGGGTGATTAATGATTTCTCTCACTGCTGTCTGAGAGGAAACTTGATGGGAGAGGCCTTCAAATTGTAGCAGAGTGTGAAAACATAAATGCTAGCTCTATGTATAGATTGGTCTCATGTCAAAGTGCAGACTGTGCTGGTACAGGTGAGATATCGTGTGTCTGGCTGTCTGGGCAGCTGGTGTTTGAGACCAACTTTGTTTGGAGTATGGATTTTTCCTTAATGAGAATTAAATGGCTCTAATCTCTGGTCCTTGCAGCAAAGAAATGATTCTGCTAATGAAATCCCTCCTCTGGAGGGATAACTCTGGAGTAAAGTGTGTGACAGATTCAGATTTCTTCTGCTCACATCAACAGTGTGCTCTTTTACTCTCTCTGAAGTGTTCTTGCTGATTTGTGGAGGAGAATTTCCCATTCCAAGAAGAAGATGGTAGAAGTTTTTCACATCCTAATAAACCAAGTCTGTCTGCAGCCCATCCTAGAAAGCAGGTATTGGCACTTGGGTACCAGCCAGTTATTTCATTGCTGTTGTGGGGGTGATTGTTTCCTTGTTTTCAGATTTACTGGAGAAAATGAATGGATCCTGTCTTGGGCTGGTAGCCAAAGACTTTGTCTAAGATCAGGAATCTGTTGTCCTGCATAGCAGGAGATGGAGCTACATGGTCCAGAACTGGTGGAATGAGCTGTGACCCTACTAAAGAGGGATAAGGCTGTGGTCCAGCAAGGTTTCAAGCTTCAGCTTATGTCTGAGTGGTAAATTCTAATGGTGTGTGTAGACACCTGGGCTGAAACACCACAGTGAAAGATGCAGTGTCACAGCTCACTGGAAACAGTTGTTTTAAGTCTAGACACTGGTGCCTTTAGTTCTACCCCCTGTTGTGAAAATGGCTAACTAATAGCTCTGTGAGTAATTTAAAAAATGAAGGCAAGTATTACTGTCCTGTTTTTAAAATAGAAAAGTGAAATGACCCAAAATCCTGCTGCGTGTTGGGGACAGAGCCAAGAGCCTGCATCTTTACTGGAAGACCAGGGCTCTTTGCCTGATCTCTTTTCAGCTTTTGAAGATTGCTGGTCTCTGGCCCTTGTTCTGCTCAAATATTTTCCCTGGTTTGATATCAGAGTTGTCCAAGAAGATGAGGAGGGTCTGTTGGTGGAATTCTTTATGAAAGATGTGGATTTGCTTCCTTGACTTCGTCTGTAACCTGGAGTGAATCATAGAATCATGGAATGGTTTGGGTTGGGAGGGATCTTGAAGCTCATCCAATTCCACTCCCCTGCATGGGCAGGGACACCTCCCACCAGCCCAGGTTGCTCCAAGCCCCATCCAACCTGCCCTTCAACACTGCCAGGGATGGGGCAGCCACAGCTTCCCTGGGCATCTGTGCTATAAGTCCAGTCGTTACAGGAGCAGTAGAAGCCTTGCCTTACCCTTGCTTACCTGAGTAGTGCCTTCCAGTAGCCACTGGAATATTGGAAGTGTAAGGGAATCAAAGAGGTAACATGGTCAGATTCTATGGAATTAAGGGCTATATATACTTCAGAGGGATAAAGGACAACTCCAGACACTCATTCCCAGTTTGATGAGAGCTGAGGCTACTGTGAGAACAGAAAATCCAGCTTCTAGGGAAATATCTTTTTTCTTAGCCCTGCTGTGCTGCAGGGGACATTATACCTTGGTGTGAGGCCTGATGCTTCAGCAGCCAGGGGAGGCTGAGCAGCTCTAACAAAGGAGTTTGCTTGGCTTCTGCTCTTACGCAGGTGAGCACATATTTTCGGGGAGGTTCACTGCTGTGTAATGAGACACATAATAGGAGTGCAATTACACAAGCACCACACACCCTTCTCTGCTCATTGCAAGTCTGAGGCATCAAACTATCATTTGTAAAGGCTGTCACAAGTCCTGTAATTCTAACTGTGATACAGCTTCAGATCTAGCTGGCTGAAAGGTTTGCAGAGGCTATGGAAGAAACTGATTTCCATTTGACCCTTTGCTCATCTGAAAGCCAAAGAGTGGGCTGAAATCTGTTTCCAAATGGGATTTTTCCCTCAAAATGTAGTTTGGCTGGTGAGGCAGAGTGTAGAGGCTGAGCAGTGCTTAGCACTGACTTTTTCACTCTGTTGTGCCTTTGGTTTCTGCAGCTGTGAGAACATTCAGCCTTTTATTGAGGAATTTCTACAGATCTTCACTTCGGTGCTTCAGGAAAGAAGGTGAGTCTGACTGAAAGAGGCCCAAGGGGAGAGTCACTTGCCTTCCTCTTCCATTCCTCACAGCAGAATTGCCTGAGACATTATTAGGAGGCATTATGATGCACTTGGGAGTTAGAAATCGTTCTAACTAGCTGGGAGAGGATTTCAGGCTGCAGCACAGACTTTATTGCAGAGGTGAGGAGGGTGCTGCGTGACGCTGGAGAATGTTATTCTTCACTCTCTTTAATCCAGCTTTCCAAGTGGAAGGTAGCAATTTAGCCATTAGCTGCCTTGCCAAGTTAGGCTGTTATGACTGATCTGTGCTTTTCAGCTGGGGTGGCCAGATCAGAAAGATATTAAGTGCTAATGTTGAAGATGCAAAGTGAGTAAGTGGCAGAACTGGGAATGTGATCTTGTCCTCCTGATGGTGCTGTCATTCTGATCATGTTTGAGTCATAAACCATTTATTCTCTGTAATTCAGCACTGAGTTACAGTTCTCAACATTAGGAGGAGTGTTGCAGCCAGCTCTGTGGCTTGGGGGGACGTGTTCCTGCAGGATAATGGGGGCAAAATCGGGTGTGGGAAGCCATGCTGGAAGTCAGTATGAGGTGTGGGGTCCTACATGTTCCTACCTGGGCAGTGAGGAAGTCAGCAACATAGCAGAAATGTTTGTGTGACAGGTCTGCTGGTAATTTATTTTTTAATTCAACTGATTAAACTTTCTTCTGCCTTTTCAGATTTCTCCGTGACTATGATGAGCTGTTTCCTGTGGAGGATGATGTCAGTCTGCTGCAGCAGGCATCCTCCACACTGTATCCTTGGCTGGCATGGAACCCCAGACTGGTTTGGGTTGGAAGGGACCTTAAAGTTTGTCCAGACCCAAACCCCCTGCATGGGCAGGGACACCTCCCACCAGACCAGGTTACTCCAAGCCCCATCCAAACTGGCTCTGAACACTTCCAGGGATGGGGCAGCCACAGCTTCCCTGGGCAGCCTGGGCCAGGGTCTCACCAACCTCACAGCAAATAATTTTTTCCTCATGTCCAACCTCAGTTTCCCACTTCCAGTTATAATCCATTCCCCCTGCTCCCATCCCTCCCTGCCCTTGTCCCAAGCCCCTCCCCAGCTTTCCTGGAGCCCCTTCAGGCACTGGAAGGTGCTCTAAGGTCTCCCTGGAGCCTTCTCTTCTCCAGGCTGAACACCCCAACCCTCCCAGCCTGTCTCCAGAGCAGAGCTGCTCTAGCCCTTGGATCATCTCTGTGGCTTCCTCTGGCCTCTCTCCAACAGCTCCATGTCCTTCCTGTGTTGGGGACCCCAGATCTGGCCCCAGCCCTGCAGGGGTTCTCATGAGAACACTGGGGTTTTGCAGTCCTGGCTGCTCTTAGATGACTTTACACTGGTGGGATTTCCAGTGTTGCTGCCTCTAGTGAAGCTGCATGACTGGCAGTGAGTGATGGCAAGTTTTCTCTTAAAAAGAAGGAAGGGGGAATGTTGATGTAGAGGCTTGAGAGTCCCTGCAAATTGCAGTTGCTTCAAGGTAAGATCTGAGTATGTGCACCTGGAAATGTCCTTAATGCTCTCCTAGAGATGAGACCAGGACAGCCTATATCCTCCAAGCAGTGGAAAGTGCATGGGAAGGGGCAAATAGGAAAAAAACTCAAGTCCTTCAAGATCCAGCACCACCAGCAGCATCTAATGGAGCATCAGCAGTAGTGGAGAGCACTGCTGAGGATGTGGAGGAGCTCAGGGCTGCATATGCATCAGAGGATGAGGTGAGGAGAGTTTGGGCAGGACTAGGGGCTGCTCTTTCTGTCTTTCATTCACTGAATCACAGGATCACAGAGTGGTGGGAGCTGGAAGGGGCCTCTGGAGATCATCTAGTCCAACCCCCTGCTAGAGCAGGATCCCCTAGAGCAGATCCCACAGGAACACCACCAGACAGGTTTGGAATGTCCCCAGTGGTGGAGACTCCACAGCCTCTCTGGGCAGCCTGTCCCAGGGCTCTGTTACCCTCAGAGTAGAGAAGTATTTTCTTATGTTTAGGTTAAACCTCCTGTGCTCCAGCTTGTGCCCGTTGCCCCATATCCTGGCACTGGGCACCACTGAGAAGAGTCTGGTCCCATCCTCCTGACACCCCCTGTAGACACTGATCAGTGTTGATGAGATCTCCCCTCAGCCTCCTCCTCCAGCTGAGCAGCCCCAGCTCTCCCAGCCTTTCCTCACAGGCAGATGCTCCAGCCCCTCAGCATCTCTGTGGCCTGTGCTGTCCCCTCTTCAGTAGTTCCTTGTCCCTCATGAACTTGGGGGCTCAAAACTGCACACAGTGCTCCAGGTGAGGCCTCACCATTCATCACCTGTGAAGAGAGGGTTGGTTTGCTCAGTTTTGGGCATCACTGGAGATTCAGTCTCATTTCTTTCTTTGCCAGATTTCAGTGCAGCCCCACGTGCCTTGTGCAGTGAGAACCTAAGCTCCACCTGATCCCAGCTTCATCTTTGAGCAAATTGCTTCTAACTCCCCTTGGCCTGGCTTTCCTGTTGCTGTGGTTTATTTCAATACTGGGCTTCATCACTGCAGTTTGTGTGTAGGTTTTTTGGATGCACAGTTGATGCTGTTTGAGGATTGGATTCTCCAGAGTGTCCTTGCTGACTGGGAGCCAGACAGAAGCAGTTGTGTGCCCAATAGACCTCATGTAGTACCAAAAACTTGGCTGATTCATCTTCTTTTGATTTCAGTCTTGGAAATCTGTTTAAATTCTGATAACCAAGATTGCTCCTTTCCTACTGTGCCTGCCTGCCACCCCCTGCTGCTGTCCCTGGCCAGTAATGCCACCCCTTCTGTCTGGTGTCCCCAGTGTGCCGGAGCTGCTGCTGCGCCCGCTGCCAAAGTGTCAGGGGTAGAGCTGGACTCTCTCATCTCTCAAGTGAAGGACCTGCTGCCAGACCTTGGTGAGGGCTTCATCCTGGCCTGCCTGGAAGAGTACAGCTACAATGCTGAGCAGGTCATCAACAACATTCTAGAAGACAAGCTGGAGTCATCCTTGCGTCAGCTGGACCGAGCAATGCGAAGGTGTGGGACAAGTTCTGGCACAGCTTTGATGCCTTGTGGGTTTGTGTTTGTGTGTTGTCATTTACCATGCTGGAACCAGATGTCCACAGAATCACAGAATTGTGGGGGTTGGAAGGGACCTCTGGAGATCACCCAGCCCAGTCCTCTGCCAGAGCAGGATCCCCTAGAGCAGATCCCACAGGAACACATCCAAACAGGTTTGGAATGTCTTCAGGCATGGAGACTCCAGAACCTGCCTGGGCAGCCTGTCCCAGGGCTCTGTTACCCTCACAAGAAAGAAGTATTTTCTTACATTTAGGTTCAACCTCCTGTGCTCCAGCTTGTGCCCATTGCCCCTTGTCCTGTCACTGGTCACCACTGAGAAGAGTCTGGCTCATCCCTTGACACTCCCTGTAGATACTGATCAGCACTGATGAGATCCCCCCCCCCAGTCTCCTCCTCCAGCTGAACAGCCCCAGCTCTCCCAGCCTTTCCTCACAGGCAGATGCTCCAGCCCCTCAGCATCTTTGTGGCCTGTGCTAGACGCTCTCCAGTAGTTCTTTGTCCTTCATGAACTGGGGAGCCCAGATCTCTCTACACAGTTCTCCAGGTGATGAGGTCTTTTAAGGTCCCTTCCAACCTAAACCATTCAATGAATCTATCTATGTCCTTGCCCATGGAAGGGAGTTGGAACTAGATGATCTTTAAGTCCCTTCTAACCAAACCATGCTTTGATTCTCTGCACATCATTCTTACTGAAGGTTAGACACTTGTCAACCTCTAAGAAGTTGCATGTGCATTTATCTGGGGTGGACAGCTGCAGTGAGAGCTTCTCAGCAGAGCACTGGAACATTCACTGTTCAGCATTTCAGTAGAGCAGGTGCTGGGTCATGTTTTGTGATGGGGAGACAAAAATACTTGTACATTAGATACCCAAATAGGAACCATTACAATTCCATCCTGAGGACATGGGCTTAGCCTGGGCTGGACAGTGGAACACGTTGCCTTCAAAAGTGACTTTGTTGCAGAGGACAGGGTCATAGGTGGGAAAATCCCAGCTGTCCTGCAGGAAAGGGTGTCTTCAAAGGAACTAATTCAGCTCCAATTCAGCCTGCAGGGTAAAATGCAGGATTTGAAAAGCTGCTGTTCTGTGATAGAAGATAAACCCGGAGAGAGATTGGAAATGGCAATTTATATCCATTTTTCTCTACCCTTTCACAAACTTGCCAGGCTTTTGTTTGCTTCTCTGGGTTGTACGTGGATGCAGGGTTTATAGCTGGCAGTGGAACTGAGTTGTTTTAGTTTGTCTGCAGCTGCCAGTGTGTGTTTGTGCTGTACCAGCAGTTTCCGACCCAGTGTCAGGATGTGAGTGAACTATTTGTTCACATTTCATGGAGGGATGGGCAGACTGTCTCCTTGTGTTAAAGAAGGAAAGCATCTTTATCAGAAAAATGTTGTAAAATAATCTTAGTTTTGCAACAATCTTCATGTTCTCACCATCAGATCTGCTGACTTTGGCACAAAAGCTGTGGGGTGGGCTGGGGAAGGGTTGTTTTATTTCCTGCAAGACCAGCAGTTACAGAAAATAGGGCTAGATTATTTTTTTCCCCTGCCTTTTGCTGCATCTTGAAAGAAGACTGTCAGTTCAACAGCAAATGTGGAATTTTGTTCACTCCTGGGTTCAGAAGTGAGCACAGCAGCATGTGCAGGTGCCCAGCTGAGCTCACAGCACCAACAGAATGGGTGTAAAAGTAAGTCTTTTGACTTAGAAGTTGAACAAATGTAAACCTGGAACACTGAGAAAGAATTAAGAAGGAACCAGAGGGAGATAAATATCCTGAAATCAACAGCAGCAAATTATTGGAATTGTTTCCAGCATGTAATTCATCATACTTAGTGTTTGGCTTTACTGAGTCACTGTTTTGAGACCAGATAGTCTGTTAAATACTCCACACTCCTGTAAATGAACAGAAGAGTTTCCTTTTTGCTTTCTGTGAGTTGCTTTGGTTTCCCCACAAAGATAAGCCTCAAAACCTGGGCCTTTTCTCTTAGAACCTGGAGTGGTTGTGCACACACCATAGCCCAGCTGTGAAATGGTGAAATGACAGTCCATGACCCAGGCAGCACCATGAGGGGATCCTGGCAAGCTCTGGGTGATTGGGAGGCTGTCAAAGAATGAATCCAGGTCTCAGGAAGGAGAGGACTTCTTCACTTCACCTCTGTTTTTCTTCTCTGTTTCTTTTTTCACAGACAGCTGAAACCAGACCCTACCCCTCTAGTCACTTCTCGCTATAATGTTTTCCAGAATGATGAGTTTGATGTTTTCAGCAGGGATTCAGTGGATGTTTCTCGGATCCAGAAAGGCAAGAGGTGAGTGTTGTGCACCCCTGATTAACCCTGTCTGTCAGGAGGAATAAATACCTGGGAACCTGCACATTTCTTTCCTGTACAAAGCTCCCACAGGAGTTTGTTGGCAGGTGGTGAGGCTTATCAGGAATGTTTCCCACCTGCTTCTTCTGTTTCTCTGGGAGAGTAAAATGAAATATTACTAGGGGCTTGATTTCAGGTAGTGTTTTTCCTAATTGGCTTTCCTCTCTGTGCTGCTGGAGTTTGCTCTGCCAAGCTCATTTGCCATGTCAGGCTCTTGCTTCTTGGTCTTAACATGAAACTTGTACAGCACAACAAACCTTGAAAAGCAACCATCTCTGTGAGCCTGGGATTGGGACTCAGACATGACAGTAAATAGACATTTGGATTAGATCCAAGTGGAGCTTCAATATCCATCTACTTCAAAATCTGATAATGCTCACTGGCTTAGGCTGCTTTTGTTGTTCCTGCTGCTCTGAGCTCCCAGCACAAGGGCATTTCCTTTGCTTTCTGCCCAGTTTGGTGTGTTGTGCTGTGCCACACTCCATGCAGATCCATGTTAGGCCATTGTCCTGCTGGTTCCCATGGGTGTCAGCTGGATCTCTGGGATGGTTGATTTGTTTCAGATTCTTTTTATACAGTTTCTATAGTCAGCCAAGTCTGATTTTTATGTTGGTGTGCATTTACACAACACAAATAGAAGTCTGGCTGGAGCCACATGACTCTGGGAGCTCCCAGTTAAGGTTTTGGTTGCAAAACTTCATCAAACTCTCAGGAGAAAACCACTGTTGTCCCAAAGTCCAGACAGACACCTTCCCAGCAGTCCTGCAGTGCTTATATTGCCTCAGCTAGGCAGGAAAACAGTTTCTTTTCTCCCTGGACAATACAATTACTTTTGAAGTCCCCATGGCCAAGAATTCACAGGCACAGTGAATTCCTCCTCCTCATGTTGCCTTACCCAGTGTGCAGGCAGGCACCTTGTCAACAAGAGCCTTGTGCACAGGGGTGCTTAGTTATCTCCCTCCTCCCCACGTTTTTGCACACGTGGGGGTGGCTGCTGCAGTGGCTGGACAAGACCAGGGAGCACAGGAGTTCAGTGCAGGGAATAAACCTGCTGGGAGCTCCCTCTGCAGATCACTTGCAGAGCTCTGGTAGCTCAGTCATGTCTGGGCTAGGCTGTGGGACCTGCTCCCATGGCATTGCCCTCCAGCTGCTGCCAGGGAGGTTGTGCCTGCTCTCCAGTGGTGACATCCCTCCTGGGGAACACTGCATCCCTTCTGCTGGGTTGTTCTGTGACCCTGTGGGATTATCCTCTTCCTGCTGCTGTTCCTGGTGTCTCTTGGCCTCCCTCAGGCTGTGTCTTCAGTTCAAAACAGTTCTGAGACTGAGAACACACTGCAGGATTCCAGACATACTGTGTTTTGAATGGTTTTTAAAAACCTGGAGGTAGCTGACTGGGATCAGCTCTGTGCGCCAAGTTAGCCATGGCTGAATCAATTAAAGGATAATTGAAGGATAAAGGATAGGCTCTCTAGGGTCTAACATTCAGAGTCCATAGCTATGAAGAGTGTGTCCTTCCAGCTCCAAAAGTGCAGCTTCCTTGGCAGTCCTTGTTCCACAAGCAAGAACCCTGATGCTTTACCCAAGTGTCTGGGTAGCAGGATCCTGCTGGCCCAGTTTGAGACCTGCTTTGGATTCAAATTGTATCAATACCTATTTTTTTTTTTCTTTCTTTCTTTCTCTTAAAATCCTCTGCTCACCAAATTCTGCTTGTGTCTAGAGGCTTCTAAGCATGATGTGGCAATAGTGCCAGCACAGGTTGGGTCTCACTGCTCCAGCTGCTCCAGGGGTAAGTGTAGGCAGGCTGGGGAGGGATTGTTGGTGTGAAGGAGAAAGGCACACCAGGGTGAGGAGAGCAACAAGCGTAAGGAGATGAACATCCTAGTGTAGACCTGATGCTTTGCTGGTCCTGAGAAGTCATCTTCCTGTCCCTGCCTGTCCAGCCATAATTACTAGCTGAATCTGTCTCTTGGAAGTCAGAGCATATCCTGAACACCATGGGACTAGAGGAGTTATCCCATTGTTTTCCTGGAATGGGTGCCTGGAACACTTCATGGCAGCTCTTCTGCAGTCATCAGACCAGCTCAACAGGAAACAATTACCAAGTCCTTCAGTCTCCTGCTGAACACCAAGAGAAGATGCTGTCCCAGCCTGGACATATGCAGACTAACCACATGCTTTGGAGGGCATTTTGCAGCTAAATGCAGCATGTCCCAACACTGATTCACACCAGAGAGGGCATCCACATCTGTCTGTCATGTTACTTTGGTTTGAGATCCTTAATGCAGACCAGGCTGCTTAGATCACTTCTCCACTAACTTGCTAGTATGTCATGGAAGTCTCTGTATTCTTAAGGCACTAACAGTTTGTCTTAGCTGGGTCCTTCCTCTGATAATCTCCAGATGCCAGAAAGATCACTGATGCATGTTCCTCCTGGACTTCAAGGGCTGCAAGTTGTCCTGTGAGTACTTGTCAGTGGAATCACTTGCTCTAAGGATGTACTTGGCTGGTCTGAAGAAGGGGACTCCAAGGACTTCATGCTTGAGATGCTGGAGATGTAGCATCTCAGTGGCTGCTTTTTCATACCTCTGTCAAAGTTCTATTTAGTGGACTTCCCTCTTTACAATGACTAGGGTTTACTTGCCTCCTAAACTTCTTACTTTTAATTGTACATTCAGTGCTTAGAGCTGGGTTGGATCAGAATCACCAGGCTGCTCTGGTTTGTTATTTTTTTTAGAACTTAGAATGCCAGGTTGGAAGGGACTTCAAGCATCATCTGGTCCAAGCTTTCTAGGTGCTACTCCAGTTTATATGAGGTGGCTCAGCACCCTGTCAAGCTGAGACTTAAAATTGTCCAGTGTGGGTGAGTCCACCATTTCCCTTGGGAGACTATTCCAATGTTGGACTGTCCTCATGGGGAAAAATGTCCCTCTTGTGTCCAATGGGAATCTCCCCAGGAGCAACTTGTGCCCATGACCATTTGTCTTTTCCATGGGACTCTTTGTAAACAGGGAGTCTTCATCTTCTTGGTACACACCGTTTAAGTATTGGAACATTTCATTCTGAATTGTGCTTATTCTAATCCTTACTTGCCACACTGGTGATTTTTTTTGGCTCTGTCCATCTGCTTTTGGTTTTCATCTGTTTTTCATCTCACGTGGGCAAGCTGAGGTTGTGGCCTGTGGGAGCTCCCCTGTCCATGCTCAGTTTCTGTGCTGCAGCCCTGCTCCATGAGGTGCTGCCACAGAGAGATGATCCTCCAGCCTGGTGTTAGAGGGCACCCTGGGCCTTGCAGGGCCCCCCTGGAACCAGCCCTGCATCTTGCCAGTCCCAATCCATGGGGCTGCTGGTGTTCTCTGGGATCTTGGCCAACTTTCAGCATGACTATAATTGCATTTGGCCTCCTGGAAAAGCTTCCTTTCTGTCTCAAATAACAGTGGTGGTCTCCAATTCCTGTTCTTACCTACTGTGTGATCTCTCTGGGCTTCTGTTTGAAAATGATTTGGTTCCAAGCCAGGAGTGGCTGTTTTTAGTAGCCAGACAAGCAGCCCTGTTAGAAATCAGAGGTGAGACAGGCAGGCTTAGGTGGAGCTCCTAGAGCTTGAGATGGGCCTTCTGTTGCTGCTTCAGCTTCTGCTTGCTAAAAAGAGGTTGGAAAAAGTCACTTGTAGAGCAGATTTTGACACTGCCTATGTCTGCCTCTCTTGTTTCTATGCTGTGGAGAGCAGGAGGGAGAAGGACACGACCAGGAGTCTGCTGAACGACAAGCGCCTGGTGGCAGAGCAGAAGGAGAGGTACCAGCAGTACAGCCTGGTGGTGGAGGAGATCCCCCTGCAGCCAGGGCAGGAGCAGCTCTATGGGGACTACGAGGATGAGTATGATGACACTTATGATGGAAACCAAGTGGGGGCCAACGATGCTGACTCAGATGATGAGCTGATCAGCCGGAGGTGGGTGCTCAGTGAACGCGGTTGGTGGGAATGGGCACCTGGAGCTGTCTGGGCAGATCTGTGAGCCCAGCTGGGGGTTGGGCTGGTTCTCACTGAGGGGTGTGCATAGACTCATAGAAACACAGAGTCACAGAATGGGTTGGGAGGGACTAGATATTAGGAAGAATTTCTTTACTTGAAGAGTGATCAGGCCTGGAACTGCCCAGGGAGGTGGTGAAGTCACCATCCCTGGAGGTGTTCTAGAAATTAGTAGACATGGCACTTCAGGGCATGTTCTAGTGGGCATGAGAGTTTTTTTGTGGGTTGTGTGTTGTTGGCTTTGTGGGGTGTGAGGTTACATTTTTGTGCTCTAGAAATGAGTAGACATGGCACTTCAAGGCATGTTCTAGTGGGTATGAGGGTTTTTTTGTGGGGTGTGAGGTTACATTTTTGTGCTGTGGTCGGTTTGTTTGGGGGTTGTTTTTTTTTGTTTGGTTGGGTTTTTTTCCCCCTTGGGTGAATGGTTGAGCTTGGTGATCATGAAGGTCTTTTTCAACCATGACCTTAAAGCTCATCCAGTTCCACCCCCCTGCATGGGCAAGGACACCTCCCACCAGCCCAGGCTGCTCCAAGCCCCATCCAACCTGCCCTTCAACACTGCCAGGGATGGGGCAGCCACAATGAAGGTCTTTTTCAACCATGACCTTAAAGCTCATCCAGTTCCACCCCCCTGCATGGGCAGGGACACCTCCCACCAGCCCAGGTTGCTCCAAGCCCCATCCAACCTGCCCTTCAACACTTCCAGGGATGAGGCAGCCACAGCTTCTCTGGGCAGCCTGGGCCAGGGTCTCATCACCCTCACAGAGAATACTTTCTTCCTCATGTCTAACCTAAATCTCCCCTCTTTCAGTTTTATTCCATTCCCCCTTGTCCTATACCTCCCTGTCCTTGTCCCAAGTCCTCCCCAGCTTTCCTGGAGCCCCTTCAGATACTAGAAGACCATTATGAAGTCTCCCTGGAGCCTTCTCAAGGCTTCAAACCACCCCTTTTTCTGCTACTGGTTTCTCTGTAACATGCAAGGAGAGGGGTTAGGGTCTCTCTTCTCCTGTTGGTAGGGAATGTTGTTGTGCACCGGGTTTGCAGGTTTCCACTTCTTGTGCCTGCAGGACTGGCCATTGCCTCAACTTATCTAAGAGGGGCACTGGCCATTGCACTCACCACTGCTTCTGCTCACAGAAAGCTGTCCTGAAGTGGGGAAACATGGGCTGGCTTGGATAACCAGGTTTGAGTGTAGCTGGGCAATGTTTTTAAATGGCTGGTTAGCAAAGGAAAACTTCAGATTTGGGCAAAGTGCACAACCAGGATTCTCCTGGCCTTCAAAACTTGCCATCTCAGAGTGCTGACACCTGCAGCTCACTCCTTGAGGAACCACAGCCCTCTCCCCACTGACCAGCAGCTGGAGACAACTTGCTTTTTGGGAAGCCAAGGGTTAGTTTGGGATGGGGGTTGTAGAATATTTAATTGAGAAATAAGAGCTAGAGATGGAAAACATCTTTTACAAGCTGGTTTAACATTTCTCAAAGTGGCCTTTTAAATTCTGATGCATTACAAAGATGTCACCATTTCTAATCTCAAACCCAAACCCAGCTTTGGGGTTCCTTTGTCCCTTTGGCTTTTGGTTTTTTTTATTCCCCTCCTAAAATGGGGTGAGGTTTCAATTTAAATCCTTTCTGTGGTTTCCCTAGCACTCGGGGCCTTTCCCCTGCTTCAGGAGCTCAGTGCTCTCTGCCCCTGGAGAGGCAGTAGAACAATTATTGGATGGTACTGCTGAAAAGTAGATCTGTGGGTTTGCACTAACAAAAGCTTTTCTGGCTGTACATTTATTCCTTTGACAGCAGAATGGTGGATCTGAATTCCAATGGAACTGAAACACTCTCACACATCTATATATTAAAGAAGAGCTTTAAAGGGCATGAAGTAAATTCTGCCTCCACCCCCCCAGGCCCTTTGCTGTCTGTGTGTTCAGGGTGATTCATAAAGCTTGATGGATTTCTCTGGGTATTTCCCTCGGCATGAAACTGGGGCACAGCAATGAAACTGGAGCTCCATGGAAAGCAGCTGAGCAGTTCCAGCACTTGGAGAGCTCAGCACTTCTGAGCAGTCCTGCTTCTGCCTGGTTTTGAGCCTGAGGTTTAAGGGTTTGTCTTTGTACAGCAGCTGCTCCTTGCCTGCTGAGGTGAAGCAAAGTGTCCTCACTGAAGCCTCCTGGCTGTGCCTGGGTCCCCTTCTCCCAGAGGAAACAATTGTTTCCTTGAAGAATTTCCCTCTGAGGTTTCAGGTTTTTCCTGACCTGCTCCTTTTTTAAACTATTATTATTTTCAGTAACAACTTCATGGTGAACACCCCCCAGGGAAGAACATGTGTTTCTTAATTGCCCACAGTAAATGGGTCATTAGCTACTGAGGTTGTGTTTCTTTTTTAATTCAGAGAAAGAAGCAAGTCCATTAGGTTGGTAGATCCTAATTTTTGAAAGCCAAAAAGGATGTTCTGTTCAGTGAAAAGCTTGTGATTGTACTGCCTTTGCTGACTGTTTCTGTCTTAATTTTCAGGCCATTCACAATCCCTCAGGTCTTGAGACCTAAAGGACAGGAGGAAGAGGAAGAGGATGAAGAGGAGGAGGAGGAAGAGGAAGCTGAAAAGGAAAGAACCAAGGTAACATTTAGTTTGTGGTTGGAGTTGCATTAAGATCTACTGTGTGTCTTAGCTGCTTCAGCCCCAGAGTGTGGAGCAGATTTCCTCTTGCTGAGTGAATCTTGGACCAGCAGCAGGACCCTGAGCTGCCTTTCAGAGGGGCCACTTCTGTGAGCTGCTGGGCTGTGAAATGTCCCCCGAGTGCAGCTGTCTGCTGTTTCCCAGACTGGTGTGCTGGAGCAGTAGCACCTACTCCATGGAGAGGTTTCATCTCCTTTATTCCATAGACAGACAATGCCAGCAGGACACTTGGAGGGTCACTCAGGCTCTGTTGTCATGGATGTACTGGGAATAGTGCTGCTGATGGTGCTGCTGGCAGAGGTGGGGGCGGGAAGTCTCAGGTTTTGTCTCTGGAGTCACTGACACCAGCCCTGCTGGCTCAGCCAGGGGAGATGATGAGCAATGAACTGACTCTGTTCTGTGGGCCAGCAGGACCCCAGCTCCTGCTCCAGCCTTTGATGTGATGCTGAGGAGCTTGCTGACCCCTTTCCTTCCTTCCTTCCCATGGTAGGACCACTTTGTGCAGGACCCGGCTGTGCTGCGGGAAAGAGCCGAAGCGCGGAGACAGACCCTGCTGGCGAGGAGGGGGTGAGTGACCACCTGCCTCTTGGGGTGGAGCCTCAGCTCTGTAGTCAGCAGGCTGGAATTGCTGAGGATGGACCTGTTCCTGCACATTCCTGTAGCCAGGGTCAGTGCCACCAGGGTGGGAACTTCCTCACCTGACTTTTACTTGGCTGCTGGTTGCACTGTCCCATCCGATGGGCGGGCAGGTCCCTTTATCCCAAGGAGCAGAACCCTGGGCAAGGTAGGACCTTGGAATGCACAGCTTCCCAGAGCTTGAACAGCTGCCACTGGGATTTCAGGAGGAAGTTCAACCAGGCCAAGTGCAAGGTCCTACACATGGGTCGGAGCAATCCCAAGCACAAACTCAGGCTGGGTGGAGAATGGGTGGAGAGCAGCCCTGAGGAGAAGGACTTGGGGGTGCTGGGTGAGGAGAAGCTCAACAGGAGCCCAGAACCCACCCGTGTCCTGGGCTGTGTCCCCAGCGGTGTGACCAGCAGGGCCAGGGAGGGGATTGTCCCCTCTGCTCTGCTGAGACCCCCTGCAGGGCTGGGGCCAGTGCTGGGGTCCCCAGTACAGGAAGGACATGGAGCTGTTGGGGAGAGTCCAGAGGAGGCCACAGAGATGATCCAAGGGCTGGAGCAGCTCTGCTCTGAAGCCAGGCTGGGAGAGTTGGGGTGTTCAGCCTGGAGAAAAGAAGGCTCCAGGGAGACCTTAGAGCAGCTTCCAGTGCCTGAAGGGGCTCCAGGAAAGCTGGGGAGGGACTTGGGACAAGGGCAGGGAGGGAGAGGACAAGGGGGATGGCTTTGAATTGGAAGAGGGGTGACTTAGTTTGGACATGAGGAGGAAGTTCTTCCCTGTGAGGGTGGTGAGGGATGGGGCTTGGAGCAGCCTGGGCTGGTGGGAGGTGTCCCTGCCCATGCAGGGGGTTGGAACTGGATGATCCTTAAGGTCCCTTTTCACCCAAACCTATCTGGGACTCTGATCCAGGACAGTTCCATGGCTGGCTGTAGCTGCAGGCTCCACATGTGATACCGCAGAACCCGGCAGAGCTGGGATGAGCTGGGGCTCAAGGCCTGGGCTCCTCACACCCCCTTGTTTCTCGGTCTGTTTGGTCCTCCAGCTGTGCAGAGGGCTTGTTGTGATGTCCCTTTTCTGTGCCCTCCAGGCACAAGCACGACAGCTCAGCTGTCGTGGGGAACACCAAGGGCCACGGGCAGAACCGGGAGACGACGCAGGAGCGCAGGAAGAAGGAGGCACACAAAGGCACCCGGGCCAACCACAACCGCCGGGCCATGGCCGAGCGCAAGCGCAGCAAGGGCATGATCCCCTCCTGAGGGACCCTCAGCCCAGGTGTCCCATCATCCCAGCCCTCTGCTGGGGCCGAGGCAGCAGTGCTCCCTTCACTTGGGGCTCCCTTTGCTGTCCTGCTTCACCACCCAGCACTTCAGCCCGCATGGAATTGTGCATCCCATGGGAGGGCTGCCCGTTGGTGGGAAGGAGCTGCCCCCCCAGGCAGAGACCTGTGTGTGATGCTGGGTTGCACCTCCAGGCAGGGGACAGGCTGCACCCACCAGGCCTTTCCTTTTTTGTACTATTTATAATTCTGAGAGTTTTATTTTCATACTGGCTCCTGGAGAGCTCTCCCCAACTCGGGCAGATTTCCAGGCCACACAGTGGGCAGCTGGGAGAGCAGAGCTTCCCTGGAACAGCTCTTACAGCTTCCTGCTCCACTGAAATGCCTTCTCCTGAAGTACAACTCCAAGGTTGAGAGGAAAACACTGAAGCTATTCTTGTTGCCAGCTGACACACAGGAGTTCAGGTGGATAAAACCTTCTCATAAATTTCTGTCCCTTGAGTGAGGCGTGTGACAACAACCTGCAAATAAATGATTTCCATCTTCTGCTTCAATCTTCTCGAGGCTCTTACAAACCATATTGATCTTTTAACTCAGAGGAACCTCAACAAACATTTCAACATGCTCTCTCTGCAGGCAGTTAAATTCAATTGCTGGTTTGTGTTAGTTTAGTGTAATGAGATCCAGCCACAGAGACTGAAGGTGGTTGGGAATGAGGATGGAGGCATCCTGAGCAAGGTGCCAGCAGTCTGGAAACCAGAGATGAAGGCAGCAGGGTCAGAGTCCCTGGGGAGGTGCCACCTCAGTAGCCACTTGTCACACTCTGGGGAGCAGAACTGCCCTGATGCTCACGTTTGCTGGTGGGAAGGCTGGGAGCTGAGAGTGAGCAGCAGTTTGTAGCTGCTGCAAGGGCTTCTCCTGAGGGCTGCCCTCTGGTCGGGAGTTGTTCCCTTGGGAAGGAGACACACAAATCAGAGTTTATTTTGTAACCTGGTTGTGAGGTGCTCAGAGCCCTGGCAGTGGCTGCTGGGTCAGCCTGGGGCATCTGCCAGCAGCTGGTGATAAACCTGTTCCAGTCCTGTTGTCACCAAACATCAGCAGGTTTTTGGGAATGCTGAACCCCATCATGGAGACAAACTTTGGGACACACCATTGGGCTGTGCTTGGTTCATCTGCTCCCAGTGCCATCTCCCCACCACCCTACTCTGCTGTCCAGAGGTGCCTGTGGTTGTCACCTGCCTGCTGTGACAATGAGCTGTGGAGTTTTGGAGCTCCTGAGCAGGGCAAACCTGGAGCTGCTTGGAATGCTGCAGATGGAACACAGGGGCAGTGAGCTCTGTGGGCATGTCCCTGCTGCCTGGCTTGATGCAGGGGTGGGGATCAGGGGCTGGGAATGCTGCTGCCCGGGATCAGGGGCTGGGAATGCTGCTGCCCAGCACCAGGAGATGGTTACCACCATTATGCCAATGAGATGAAGTCCCAAGTCCTCTGAGGACAAGGTTTTGCTGCTGCCCAAACCCCCTCATGCTGCAGCAGAGGAAAAGGGAATGACACTTCCCACCTTCCCCAAATCCACTGTCATGGGAAATTACCTGCCAGGACAACTCCCTCTGCTCTTCTGCAGCTCCTGCTCTCAGGACTTTGAGCATCATTTCCTCTCAGTCAGGCCACTACGATGTGGTGTCTCCGCATAATCTTTATTCATCTTTAGTTCTTGCTTCTAAGAAGCTGCAAATCTCTCTCAGCTGCTCAGTGTGGTGTGACCCTGTCAGCCCTGCAGCCAGAGCAGCCCAAGATGATCCCAAGAAAGCTTAAACCTTTCCTCTGAAACATCTCTGGAAAAGCACAGCTGGGACTGTGGAAGCTGCAGTTGTTTTTTGCTCAGAAAACCCCACAAGCACATAGGTTTTTCAAGTCCTCCTTGTGTTCTTTGAGGAAATGTTTTACTCTTGACACCTATTTGCAAATCCAATAAAGCTGCTTTCATTAAGCACTGGCTCTAATTTGCTCTGCCTCATCCTCGTTAGTGACAATCCAGTGAAGAGGGAGAGCTGGGGCTGGGAAAGTGGGAAGAGCAGGAGTCACTCAGGCAGATCCTCCCAAGAGCCCAGTCATTAACTGAGTCATTATCCCAAACAGCTCCCAAGCTGCCCATCCCTGAGAAGAAAGATGGGCCTGAAATGGCACCAGAGCCACAGGGGTGGATCCCCCAGGGAAGCTACTGAGAATTCCTGCTTCCCCTCAGCTGCTGGAGCTGCACTCCAGCCAGAGGGTGAAGGCTCCAGGCAGAGCCAAGTGCCTCCTCTCCCTTCTCCTTCTGACCAGCCTTGTAGCTGCCACACTGGTTCTGTCCCTCAAGCCACCTGGAGGAGCCAGAAGGGGCAGGAATGGCCAGGAAAGATCCCATGGGAGTAGGCTTTGGACAGGCTGAGCTGCACACCTGCCCTGGGGCACACACCACACCTGAAGTCTCCCCGGTGAAGGTAGGGGGGGCAGGCCAGGAACCACCCTAGTCCTGCACCAAAGGTGTAAATGATTCACTAAACAGCACGTGAAAAAGCAGGATTTTCAGTCACTTCCCTGTGAATAAGGCTAGAAGGAAGCAGAGAGAGGCTCCTTCCCCCTGTTCAGCTTCTCAGGAAGAAGCCAAGGGTGGCACCACCAAACCTCAGCTCTGCAAACACTTTCAAGCCATTTTCAAACCATTTTCAGGACACGGTGATTTCTCAGTGTCCTGAAGCTGAGGTGGAGGGTTGTGCTGCAGCAACGCCCACCCCTAGGGAAGGAGAAGTTGCAGGAAGGCCAAAGGAACAATCAGGTGAACACACGAGACACAGAACAAGAAGGTTTTATTTGAACACAGTGAGTACAGCAGCAGAACTCCCTGAGTCCATCTTGGTTTACATCATATCAGGAGGTGGCTGATATAATCTGGCTCGGAGTTGTTCCATCAGGAATCCATTCCCATTTCCACACAACCAGGTTCAGGAGGCTGAATCCTTCTCTGCAGGGTCTTGTGCCACCCCAGGATGGATCCTGCTGCTGAGCATTTCAGTCTTTACTGCTCTCATACTTGTGCTTGATGTGTTTCCACAGTTTCTGTAGGTAAAACAAAGCAAAACAAAAACCAAACCACAAATGGTCACCTATGGAAAGATTCCTGTTCTGGAATCTGCTGGCACCACCAGGGCTTTGCTATTTGGTGCAGACAATGCTTTAGATTTAAAGAAAAGTCATTAACTTCCTCAATAATTTCATTTTCTAACCATGCCTGAGAGAACAGCAGCACCCAGGGAATCAAAGCTGAAGTTCAGATGTCAGTTTCTGTCAGCTTTTAACAAATGAGAGTTGCTAAAAAGGAGGGGCCAGGAACCCTGGTCTTGCTCTTTCTGAGTCTCCTCAGCTCTCTCAGCCCTGGGGGTGAAGCTGTCCCTGTGGGATCAGGTTCCTGCTGGTTCATAACCTGGTTCAGGAGGCCAAAGAGCAGCTGTGGCACCATCAGGGAAGGCACAGGGCAGCTCTGCCCAGCATCAGAGCCAGGAGGGTGACCTGGCCATCCTGGGTGCTCCCAGAGACCTGAGGCACATCAGTGCTGCAGGAGAGGGACAAGGACACTGTGCTGCAGGAGGGAATCTGCAACACATGGGGGTCATTTTGTACTTGGTGCAAGATGGCTGCCCAAGGAACAAGAGATAGGATAAGAGGAAATGTCCTCAAGCTGTGCCAGGGCAGGATTAGATTGCCCAGGGCAGTGGTGGAGTCCCCATCCCTGGAGGGATTTCAAAGCCATGTAGATGTGGTGCTGAGGGACATGGGGCAGTGGTGGCCTTGGTGGTGCTGGGTTAATGGTTAGACTGGATGATCTGAAAGATGTTTCCAACCCAACCTGTATGATGGCAGCCTTAGGGCAGGCATTGCATCACCTCACCCTGTCCAGGTCACTGTTATATCCTGTCCACGTGCCTCAGCCCCAGGCAGTTATTATCCCACCACAGCTCTGCCCTGAAACACGAGGACGAATTGACCCATCTCATGGGACAGTCCCAGCCTGGCCAGCAGGCTCTTGTCCTGTGCAGCTCTGCATGTCCCAGTTACCAACTCAACAGTGCAGCAGGTTCACCAGCTGTTACCCACTCCCTCTAAGGACAATCTGTGGAAGGCACTAAGGAGCACAGAGCACGATTCAATTTCATTCAAGCCCAGCTTCCTGCATCCCACTCTGACACCTCTTCCCCCAATGCAGCTGAAGAACCACAGAATCGCAGGCTGGTTTGGGTTGGAAGGGACCTTAAAGATCATCTAGATCCAAGGTTCATGGGCAGGGACACCTCCCAGCAGCCCAGGCTGCTCCAAGCCCCATCCAACCTGCCCTTCAACACTGCCAGGGATGGGGCAGCCACAGCTTCCCTGGGCAACCATCCTGAGG